ATAAGGAAGAAATTAACAAAATTAACAAAAAACTTAAATGAAACAAAACAATTATAAGGGAAATGTGTCACCAGCCAAAACAAGTTTATCTATAATGTAAATGTTTTGATCTTCATGTCTTGGCTTCTTGCTGCATAAAGTTATTTATTTATTTTATCTGTGAGCTTTTACCATCAACAAAATTGTCATGATTTTGCCGCTGCTGGCTGGCTTGATTGCTCATTTCCTTCACCTGTATAGCTCTGCCCTGTTCCTCATCAGATCCACCTGTTCCGGTTTCCTATTTAAGCTCCCTGTTTCCCAGCCATTGGTGTCAGATTATTCTTGAGCCTTTAGTAAAAAGAGTTTTCTAGCGTACTTTAGTGTTCTGATGATCTGATCCTGACCTGTTTTTGCCTTTGGACCTTTGAGCCTGCCTGCCCCCGTCTTGTTAGTTTTTCCTGCCTGTCTCCAGTCCCCTGTCAGCTCTGCAGCCTTCCATGTCTAGAACTCTCTGGCAGTACCCCGCTGCTTCTGTTCAGTCGACAGGCTGGAACCATCCCCGTTCTTTGGACACAGGACTGAACTGTTAAACCAGGTTAGTGACTCGCGCATACATAATCATCCTCTGTCAGGTTATCGCAGTCACTAACCTGTGTTTCTCTCCAACAGAGCTTCAGTCATAGACGCCCTAGCTCCAGAAACCGCTGATCCACAGCCTGTTTTTGTGTTAAAAATTAACACCTTTAAGTATTCCACTGTCTGTCTCGCCTGTATTCTGGGTCCTACACTCTAAGCTTATTAGAAAAATGAAGCTGACAATACTCTGAGGTTCACTTTCTTTGCTGAATAACTGTTTGTTTGGATCTATTTGATGAATCATAATGACAGCTTAAACAATTTAATGGTTCAATCTGACACAGGAAGCATGAAATCAATAAACACCGATTATGAATAACAACAAAATAACTTAAAAGTAAAGATCATGCGTTTAAATGTTGATTTTATAAATTACCCATAATCTACCTATCAGTAGTTGAATGTATTTTATTTCTATATGAATGTATTATTAAGAAAATTTTCAAAATGTTGTAAACCTTCAATTTTCATTTTTAACTGAGCAACAAAGCTGTGCACAGATGTAGGGTGGTCGTGGTTTGAATGTGTTTAAACTGCAGCACAGCAGGAATTTTTTAGATTGACTGCATTTACAGTACTTGACTGAGTTAATGTGCTAAATTGTTGCAGAATCTGTTTTAGATTTCTTACAAGCATAAGAACTGATGGAAACTTCCCTTGCAGTTTGAATAAGGTATTTAAAGAACAGCTAGATTAAAGTACAGCGGGGGCAGAGTGTGAGAGAATAGTTATGAAGATGAACGCTACACACTAGACTTGTGCAGTTTAAGTATTGCATTGCATAGTCACCAGGGATAGAGGTTTCAACCTATTTCTTTCCCCAGTCTTTTTCTCAATCTCAGATCTTTATGCTTCAGTCTTGGTCTCCTGTTGTCAGGGATCAAAATATTGTATTGAAACCAGCCCCATGCTTTGCCGTTTTGTAAAAAATAAAATACTATTGATACAAAACATAATTCCCTTTGATCTTCACTTGCAGATGCTCATCACACTGCATGTGAATTAAAAACAGTTTTTGTGATCCGAGCACCACTGGATCCCACCATCTCAGACTAAATACAGTGTTGTTATTGCTAAACTGTTGTTATTGCTGTGAAAATCTTAAGTGTGAGAATGTCTACAACACCATGGCATTTATTATTTTTTAAATATTGCCATTTTTGATCCATTGCTTTAAAAAAGCAAACATCGACCCGCAATCTCGCTTTCACTCAGAACACACCTGCTGTCTCACCACCGAACATGTCCTTGGTTTTGGAAATGATGAGATCTGCTTTTGAAAAGCATGAAGAGTTTGAATAGAAGGCAAAGAAAAAAAATGACATGTTTGTTAAATTCTAAACATTTGGCCTAGTTCTGGGTCTGGAAAAAGCTGCCGTTGATTCTTTCCCTTACTAGTTGGACTTTACAATGTGACAAACTATTACAGCTTCAGTACAGTTGTCCTGTAGTGTTTTAATGCTAACAGACCAGACAGCTTTGTGGGTGCAATGTTCGGAAAATTTGCTAAAATGTAACTTGCATTCTAACCAGGCAGTCACTACCCGATCCGTCCCGGAAGCATGATCCATACCATCGGCTCATTTGCGCATGTGCAAGCAGATATTCATTCAGGTCGCCATAAATAATGTTATCATGGTACTAAACATTTTTTTATCATAGTACAAAAAGACAAGATTTATAGTTAAATCCAAAACCGAAAAGATATCTCCCAGAAGTAGCCTATTATTCCATTTCTGGCACAGACAAGTGATAAAACAGAAATTATTTTAATGCATTTATTTTCTCAGGAAATAGATTATTAACCTTCAACACATTATAGCTACGCTTACTATTTTTGGGGAGAGAAAAATGTAATTTAGGTATTCTTTTTAAAATTAAAATCGGGTGTGCCCGGGATGTATATCTGGTTGCGAATGTGCAAATGAGCTGATGGTACGGATCGTGCTACCAGTTTTTTTTTCTGTTTTTTTGTTTTGTTTTTCACCAAAAGAACGGATCAGAAATCCGGATTGGATGCTTCCCCCATTAGGCTTATTTATAGTTATTATAACCTTATTTATTTTTAACATATTGGGCTTTCAATTTATCTATTTTAACGGCTAAGTTTCAAAATTTTGATGATAAAACAGGAAGATAAATCTAAATGTATTGCATAAGTCTTAACATATTAGATATAAAGTTAATATATATATATATATATATATATACATGTCCAATATACTATTTATAAAGTACTGATAGTAGTTACTCTGTTCAAAACTGATAACATGTTTTAGCTTAACCACTGCTCTGAAACGTATGCAATTTATTAATCAGAATCCCAATTACTTTATTAATCCCTTGTAGAAAATTATGCAAGGGAGAAAAATAAGATTGTGAGTACAAAAAAAATATAGGAATAATGTAAGGATAAGAATGAAATAAGGATGAGGAGCACCTAAGAATAACCTTTTACATCCACACAAGTTGGAAAATTCCTTCGGTGTTTTATTTCTTGTTTCAAGCAGCTTTTAGCATCACCAGTTTGTTTAAAGCACAATAAATTTCAAATAATTTAAATCTGTCACAACTTTTTCCAAGGCCTGGAATGAAATAGAACCGTTTCTCCTAGAAGAAAATAAAAAGGTTCAAATCCTCCATAAACGGTCCAACCTCTAAAACAGCAGTGTCATTGTGGTTGTTTTAAGTTTCCATAGAGAGACAGGGTGAGAAATCAAGAAAGACATCTTCTTCTGAAAATGGATTTGCGGTCGGCAACGTGTAAAAGCCAAACTGGTGCTCTACTCCTCAGATGAAGACTGAAATATGTGAGAAATATGTTTGGAGGAGTTGGAGTTGATCTTTGGATCCTATAACACTGTATTAACTCCAGAAAGGGAGCAGCACACAATGTTAGAATATATCACTGCTAATTTTGCAAATTTTTTTTATAATTCATGGACGATGTTTGTTTCTTATTTAGAGGGATATTCATACTCTTGGTGATTATGTTTAAACTAAACATAAACTGCTGTATTAATGTATCAGTCTTTGTTGTTCCACTAACATCATTCTGATCTATGATTAGAAAGTTTATTCCAAGTTGCGGGTGATTTTATTTACTTCGTTTTTGGCTTTATTGTTTTTTACAAATGCATGTGGAGCAAAATACGGCAGGGTAGGCTGGGGTCATTTTGCAGAGACCCTCACAGCAATGTGAGATCACAGAAATAAAGCCGCAATACCAGGCAAAAGGCACAGTAATGTGCTCAAAGTGGCTTAGAACATAATCATAAAGCAAGCATCCATCAGAGGATAAAGACAGCAAAAACAACATTAAAATCATCTTCCGATGATCTTCTTTAAGGTTAAATAAACTCACAGAAACCTACTGTATTCCATTAAGTGTGCTACAGTAAATGTATTGTTAGTACTCAAAGTTTGCATTTACCTACTATAATTTTGTCTTAATCAGCTGCATGTTAACAGATAACGCCAGGTAACCGCCATTAGACTGTCTCCAATCCAACAGCTTGGTCTCTTTCCCCAAGCATACGATTGGATCCTATTTAGATAATGATAAAGATGCAGCAAAATACCTGTTTGATTTTAACCTGGACTGACATAACCTTTAAACATAATAAGAGCTGCTTATCTCTGCAGAATAAGGCTTCTCCAACCCTCGGGCTCAGCATTCTCATACTAAGTGCTTTTAATAACGGTTTGAAAACATCAAGGAACAATGAGACTTGGTTCCTGCACATTATTCATGAGCATATCAGAGACTTTTACAATATCAGAATCCCACAGACGTTCAGTTTTAGTGTTTAATGTAAAATATTGGTTAGTTTACTAAGAATATAACTAAGAAATTTTAAAACTAGGGGGCGCACTTACACAGGGAGGAATTGAATTGAAAGGAACAAAAAAAAAAAAAAAAAAAAAGGAAGGAAGGAAAGAACACGAGTGAAGAAAGACCGAAAATTTGGGAGAATAAAGTAAAGTACGGTAGGATTCAAGGACTAAAAAAAGGACAGACGGAAGGTTGTGGATATACTATTTAGACAGTGGGAGAATCAATAAAGTCTAAAAATAATGATATTTTGTTTTGCTCTTTTTATCCAGGCCAATGTAACATTCCATGATTTTCCTCTGACGGAAACAACACAAAGGAGATGCAACTTTAAAAACTTGAGTTTGGATCTTAAAAACGCATTGAAAATCAAAGGATGTCAGCTCACATTCAACACAATTCAGCTGTAAAAAGGTAAGAGTTTAGTGGGAGCAGGCTCCAAGTCTTCACATTGAAGTCTTCTTTCAATCGGCAACAAAAGCGCACGAGAAAAGTGCTATTTGTTAGTTGACTTTAATGGATGTCTGGGTGATCAGAGTGCTCTTACTTGATGTTGTCCAGGCAACCAGAGTCTGGTTTCAGAATGGCTGTATGGTGGAACATCTTGTAGAGAGCGATGCCCAAGAAGATCACGTTGAGCTGGAAGAAAAAAAAAGAGAGAAGAAGAAACAGGGAGTCAAGCAAGTCCATTTCATGTCCCACTCCCATTAATTTTAAATTGGGGCACTTTGTATCACAAAGACAGAACATTGTAACCAGACTTAGTTTTCCACTTTGCCAAACAGAGCGCAAAATCTCCTGAGGGCTTCTATAGAAGGAAACAGACAGCCCTGGGCCCAGTGAATTATACTCAAGCTTAACTTTCTCACAAAATATTTTAGCAAATAAAATATAAACATACCGACTATGGTGCACCTCATTAATCTTCCCTTTTCAGATTGTCATCACAACAAATAGAAAATGGTCACAGCATGAGTGGGACCTGTTTAGAGTGACTCCTTGGAAATTACAGCAATTAGTGTAATGGAACACAGTTTCCTCCTATACACGGTACTTTCATTTTGGGATATTTTTTTTTTTTAAATGAACATTATTGTTCATTATTATCGTTGATTTTATTTATTTAAATATTTATTTTTTCTTTGTAAATGGTTAAAATGCTTTTTAATTCTTGTCACATTGTACACTGTCGCCAAAGGAACTGTAAAACCTGTATGACATTGTACATCTGTTTTAACAACAATAAATTGATGTGTCAAAAAAAAGCAAAAAAAAGTTTAAACAGATAGGAAACAATTTTTTTGTTTGTTTTTTTTTATTGAAGAAAAACCAGAAGGTAAATTTCACCAGTTTGTATTTATGTTAATAAGCTATATCTACATCACTTCTTCTTCAACAAAATGAGACAAATACAACATAAATAAATTTAGTTATCAATCTTTGTCATTGCCATTACATAATATGTATTATTTGTTTGAGTAGAGTACTTGAATTCTGTCAATGCCTATTTAAAGGGAAGAAATAGAATTAGTGTACCTTTCCTCTTTTTCTTCATCTCAAGTGTTTTTTTTCTTTGCTGTCTTTATAATTTTGACAATTAAGATATAAATGTGTATTTATAACTATAAAACTAAAAAAATATATTCTCTTTCTATGAGTTAGGTAGCCTTTGCAGATACAATTGTATATTTAATCAGAGCAATTAGAGCTATGGATCTTGTGACCTTGAGGTTGCTGCCCTGTCATAAATATTTGTAAAGATGAAGATGAAGGACACCAGACCAAACTATGCAGATGAGGTGAAGTCCACCATAGAAGCAGGAAGGACCTCCCTAATATCTCTGCAGAACCACAGGCTAATTAACTCCTTTGCACAAGCTCATGCATAAAGAGCCATAACCCAGTGTTGAGGGAACACACAGTTGTCAGTATGCTGACTTTTCTTGCCTAAAATTAGCCTAGCTTAATGACAATAGTCTCCTAAACAACTGTCTTCCAGTGTTTTCAAAGCTGCTTGATCAATAAATGCCAGTTTGGAAAGAACTAGCCTCCGTCCTACTTGGGAAAGACATTGTTCCAGACAGTGCATGGAGCATGCTCAAAGGAGCGCTTTTGCAGACCCTTCTTCACTGCTGTTGTTAGACTCAGGGGCCAATAGTTGTTTACAAATATGCTACTGCTTTCACGGCTTCTTTATCAGATGAAAAATTATTTGCACAGTTTCTAATCCCCTTAATTTGTGCACAACACAAATATTAATACTGTTATTTTTTCTTTTCATTAACTCTAAATTGTAGAGTTAATGAAAAATTACTTTTCTTTTACCTCATGCATTTTTCTGAGATACTGAAGGGAGTTATTTTTTTTTGCTGCACCAATTTACTTTTGATAGTTTGTCCTTTTCGTGTTATTTAATGTTGGGTGTTAGTCTGTGTTTTCTCTATTTGTTTCAGCCATTGTTCCAAAGAATTTCCACACAGTGAGAAAATAAAGCTATTTCTTGGGTCTTCTATTCCTAAAAGAGTGTGTGTCCTCCTTGCAGTGTATATGCAACAACTCACTGACTGTATGGCTGAAGATGGAGAAAGGGTAGAGGAATAGGAGCTGGAACGGGAACAAAATCAATCATAATCGCTGTGCGGATTACTCCAACACTGCGTAAAGAGCAGAGTTCGTTCTCTCTTTAACTCTCTGGCTCCATAACGTTGCTCTCAGCTTCCCTCCAAAATTGTTTTATCCAATGACCGCAGCGCCTTGACAAGCTGCAATATATACCTTCTAAGCTCCTCATTCATTTTTCTCAATGCCTTCGTGCCTCACGGTGCCATGTGTGCTCAACAGAGGAACCAGGAAAAAGGGGGATCTCTGTGGACCATTTAAGCAGTGACCCGCAGGCTAAGTAGGGTTAATGAGCAGAAGGGAGAAGAGGGAGGAGGGTGGCTGTTATTAGAAGTAGGGACTGCAGCTTACCATAATTATCAAGGTTGCAGGTCCTATAAAACTCCAGATAAAGTATGTGTCCAGGCGAAGCCAGCAACTGCAACAACAGAGAACAAGAGGTGAAGGGGACGAAGAGTGTAGGCAAGGGGATGGGAAACATGAGCAGAAAAAAAACTAGCAAAAGAAGAGACTGAGATATGATGTTGTAGCTTATACTCCAGCTCAGGAGGCTATATATAAAGGCAGAGGCTGGAATGACAAAAAGAAATAAGCACTTCAAAATATGCTGGATTTAAAGTTGCTGAAAGTAATATAAACATCATATTCTAACTGTCAATAACCTCCATGTTGACACCTAATAAAGTCCAAAACAGATCACATGTGTTATCAAAAATAAAGGTAAATACCAGGAGCAGGAATTAGCTTTGGTTTCCGTTTGTAGGCTGTAAGTAGGGAATCACCATTCAATTATCCATCAATTGAGTACTAATTGTCTTAATCCGAAGGAATTGGACTGACCTTGACGGTCATTTAAATTCTCACCAGTGTGTCTTACGTGTCCATGTTAACTGTGAATACTCTGTAGGAGCTGCCATTATTGCATCACTGCTATAATAAAGTACTCTCCTAACCTCCCACTTTGTACGGAAACAAAGCGTAAAGTCAATCTCGCCCTCAGCCCAACTGGGCCAGCGGAAGGTGACACAATTTTCTTGGAATAAGGGAGGGCTTTGGAATATGATTTATGACCTGTGGTTGAATTATTAATCTTCTAATCTCCGCTGCTGTAGCAGATAGTTGCCTCCATTTTTGTCCGCTGAAAAATTACAGTTCTGCCACAGCCACTGTCGCTCAGACTGACGTGGAGTGGAAGTGGAAGTGGCAGGGAATGAGCTGTAATTCAACAGTATTTTTAGGCAAATGTAAGTGTTTGTGAAACCTTAAAAAAGGAATTAGGAAGGATGTGGAACAGTTTCCCGTGAAATGGATTATCTTTTTCCAACTATGCTGTGAAGAAAATGTATACTTTGAATTTTTCACCATTTTCTCTTGTAACCAAAAACTCCTTCGCATGTCATACAGAGTGCATGTGATAGACTAAGACAGAGTAACTGGAAGGGAAATGATTCATGTCTTCCATCTTTTTTTTTGGAATGAAAAGTGATGGTGGGCAGCATTTGTGTTAAGGCTCCTTGAACCAGTCCTTTGTAGAAACCACCCTTTCGTCAAAGCCTCATGTCTTTGTTGCCTTTAAGTAAGGGGCTCTGACTATATGTCCTCAGCATCTGGTGTTCCTCCAACTTTTAGATGTTTCTACTTCACTACAGAATAAAAGATAATCATGATGTATTAACAGGACGCTTTAGTTGCCTTTTGTATCTCTGCTTCTTTCTGTATCTCTGCTTCTGTCTCCTTGAACCCCAGTCGGCCTCAGCAGATGGCCGCTCACACTGAGTCTGGTTCTTTTGGTAGGTTTCTTCCTGTTAAAAGGGAGTTTTTCCTCTCCACTGTCACTACAAGCATGATTGGTGTGAGGGATTGTATTTGAGTCAATGAGTCGATGCAATCAACTGGTTTTCCTTAGATAGAAAATTTTTAACCAATCTGACTGAATGATCTGGTTGAATTGTCTCTGTAAAGTGCATTGAGATGACATGTGTTGTGAATTGGAACTATATAAATTAACTGAATTGAAATGTAGAACTTGACAGCTCAGTCTGAGGAGACTATTTAACCTTAGAAACATTTCAAAGTTCTGTTCCACTGAGTTCTGTTCCAGTGTTCCCTTGAATCCATTGTCCCTAATGAAGACCAACTTTTCTACCATATACTTTTATGCTGTATCATTTTTGTTTAGTAACTGAAATATCGATTGCAATGTAAATTGTAGTTGACAATAAAGTTGATTGATTGATTGACTGAAATTTGCATACTGAACAAAAATGTATATTTTGCCCTAATTTGAGTAGAACCTTTTTCTACATTTGACAAGTTACCTATATGGCTAGAATATCTTTGTTTCAACAGTTACTTTCTTTTTGATCATCTTAACAGGGACTGTAGAGACCAACTAATAGCCTGTCCAGCCAGACTGACTTAGGTTAGTTGTTAGTCAGTCTGTTATGGCTCAGACTTTTCAATCTAAAACAGACGGGACCAATCACAGCCAAGTACGTGGGAGTTCATGCTTGCACTAAGATTAACTGTAGGGCAACAATGCTTTTCTGTAACCGTGCCAGTCAAGAATGCCGCAGCGACTGAGCAACATTTTATATGCCCTTTACTACTGAGCTTGATATCTGAAGTTTTATCAACTGCCTGCTTTAAGAGCTTTGCTTTTTGTTAAAGATGTATTTGCACCGTTATCTGATTGGTTCATATCTGTTTTCAATAACACTGTTAGTGCTGCCCTGGTCCTGTCTTTAAAATCAAATTCTAACAGCTTCTTTCCAGATAAACGTATTGTTTATATACTGTAGTGTGAGTCAGTCATGCTATCCAGGCTAAACCATCAACACTTGTCTTACAAACTCCTACTTGAGCTATGGATGTGTACAGCTCCACCAGAGATACCAGGGAGCTTTTTGACTGCGCTAATTAACACTTTCTCTGGTGGCCTGTCAGTTTAGATGAATCACCAGGACTTAATAGGATTATAGTTGTGCCATATCATTCCCACCTCATTTGTCTGCTGCAACATCTAACTGCGGTTAGGTTTGGTTAGATGTAACCACAAAGATATTTTGTCTTTCAAGCTGTGTCCAAACAGAGCCAGTTTTTTGGAAGAGCATAAACGATCATTTTTTTAAATTGGATCCCAGTGTGGAGCAGTGAGAGAATGCAGGTTGCAGTGTGTACATGTAAACTGAGTCTTTTTTTTTTCATAATAACATTGTATGTATGTAAACGTCTCTCTGTAACCAGAATGTGCTTCTTTTCTGCACTGTTGGTTTGTTTGCATAGCATGATCTGTCTGTGCAGGTTTTTGCCAGTGGCTTTGGGTGTGATTCTGCGTGTTGTCATTGATACAGAGAGTTGGAGACGAATCGAATCCCATTAGAATAAAAGCAACCCCTTGTCTTGTCACTTGTAATGTTTTATTTTATCCTGTTTCAAAGTGTAATCTGCTACTTTCTAGAGTTGTTTTGAGGCAAAGGAGAAAACTATACAGACTGGCATATGTTTTTTTATGTGAATTTCTGCATATGATAAAGATGCTGTTTTTATTCTTCCCCTTTACAGCACGGAGAACAAAAATAAAAATATTTATAAATTTATGTAATTTTTTTCTGAAAAACCTGTGTTGGGCTCTTATTAATTAAAAAGTTTGCTTTAATGCAAACAAAGACCCAAGAAGAAAAGTACAGTACAGCAGCATCTTCATAATCTTTAAGATGGAGGCCCCCCCCCCCCACATACAATCTGGTTTACATTGAGGAAAAAAACTGCACATAAATAAACTAATTCTTTTAATCGGGTAACTTTCGTCTTAAGGTATCAGTGCAGTGGAGTTGAATATAGATTCAAAGGTAGTTTCCAGCATCACTTCCTGTTCACTGTAAACTTCAGGGTTTGTGTTAATGAAAAGGAAAAAATGTGGATATTAATGAATTTATATCAAAAAACCACATGAAAGCAAACCTTTTAAGCAATGTCCAACAGTGTCTTGTCAGAAAAGAGAGAAAATAAAATATATATATATATATATATATATATATATATATATATATATATATATATATATATATATATATATATATATAGTTTGCTTCCAATGCTGTGAAGGAAAAACTAAAGAAAAGCATCTTCAGTATTTGCAGACATTGGCACTTAATTCACATAACAAGCATATTTTCCAGTCTGTACATTTTTCTCCTTTGCCTCAAAACTATTCTGCAAAGCAGAAAACACTTTGAAACAGGATAAAACACAACTTAACAAATGATATGACAAAAGGGTTCCTTTTATTTTACTGGGAGTTGATTCATCTCCCACTCTTTGGTATCGATGGATTAGAGGAGACAAAAAAATAAACATTATACATATACGTGTATATATATATATATATATATATATATATATATATATATATATATATATATATATATATATATATGCACAATACATGGTCGCATAAAGCAGCAAACATAAAAGAACATCACATACAAATGTCTGGCAGCTCATCAAAGCTCATGTTCCAAACTTCTATTGTTCATGTTTCTCCTTCTTCCTCCTCAGATCACAGTGAGATTTAAAGAGTTGGTAGGCGGCAGGAGCTAGGGGCTGTCATTTTCTCTCTGCCTCCTCTTACCTCCTTTACGCCACTCTTGTCATGCTTGTGTCTGGCGTTTGGTGTATGCATAGCCAGTTTTATCACCCCTCCTGGCATGCTTCTCTCGTTTTTTTTTGTTTTTTTTGTGGTGTTCCTACAGAAACCAAGCGATAATAAATGCAAATGTCTGCCAGTTTAAACACATGCCGCTCTTGTGCCAGCATCTCATGCTCTGGTTTCCTGGAACTGTAGGAAACAAATCTGCTTTGAGTGGATTCATGCTATCTTAACAGAAAAACCGAGGTCTTTGCATCTCTGCATCACAAGCAGTGTTTTTTTTTTTCTAGAATATTGAAAGGCTGTTGATAAAGTCCTGTTAATTAACATAGCCTTTGCTTCTTCAGATATTCTGAAGAGCATTTTAATTTAGAGAATGGTTTTATATAATAGTACAGAAGGTACTGTACAGTATATTACTATTGCACACACTGTTAGAGCTATAAAGTAAAGTTTTCATATAAAGGGACAGGAATCAGAAAAGTCACATATTCTATTTGAGTCATGATAAAATATCAACCTTAAATGATACCATGTTTCCTGCATTTTAAAAGAGTAAAAATCCCCAATCATGCATTCTTTTGTGCAATAATTTTTCCCTAAAATTAAAGACTGGGGAGATTACAAGGAAATATATAGTAGTTCTTTGTGGTCAGACAGAATTTCCACTAGAAACCACAACACTAAAAATAAATCAATTCTTTTTTGTGTTTTTTCCTAAATCTGTCACAAGTGCAAAAAATAAGGTTTCCAACAGGCTATGCTTGTGGGATATAGTGCCATTATTTACCATTTTTAAACAGAAGAAAACTTCTGTTTGAAGAGAAAAAAACCATACAGGGGAGGTGCTGATTTTTCTGCCTTTTACAAATATCTCACAAAAAATAGGAATCCAAAAATGCCAAACCTTGTGAGTATTAGTTCATTTCTTCCAGATTTACAATTTAACTAGAAAGTGTTTAACAGAAAGGCAGAAACAGAAATTTGTTCATACATATGCAGACTGAAAGGAAGAAGGGATACCTGAATAACAACAGGGATTATAATTGTCTTATTGTAGATTTTTTTAATCTTTATCAGAAACCTGGATGCTTCAATGAAAGTCCATAGATTTGCTGAATATTTAAGAATGCACAATCCGCAGCTACCAGGAATGATAACTGTGGGGAGGGAAGATGAACAGAGATAAAGTTTTTTTTTTGGTCCCAGACTGTTTAAGGTCAGGGGGGAAAAAGCTGGTCGGGAAAACATGGTGGTAGTATGAACGATTAGATAATGATTAAAACTAGCAAAGCACAGACCTCTGCCAAGTAGCCCATTTTGCCCCTAGCTGAGACTTACAGCTATAGGTTAAACTCACACATTCCTTGGTATGAGGGACACCTTTGATAAAAAAATTTCCCTAAAATCAATTAATAAGATTTCAATTGATTCTGTTGTTTCAGACCAATAACAGTCCCTTTTCTTGTGTTTTTGGCTTCAGTAAAATAACTCCAGACTTTTTGAGTCCGATGCTGAAGCCTTCAATCGTCACTGCTGCCATCCTCTGGTTTAATGGGGAACTGCTCGCTACACCAAATATTCCAATCTCACAAAATCTTCGAAAAAAATCACCAAAATCTAATGGATTTTTCATTGGCATGAGGGACACCTCTGATAAAAAATTAATTAAAATAATTTTATGACTTTTGAAGTTATACTGTAAACAGACAGACAGGTATACACACGTTCCTAGAGATAACCGTGGTGGAGGTAACTATAATCCTTGTTTAGTCATCCCTGTCCAGCATGTATATCTGAATTCAATTGCTTGAAACAGTTTAAAATGATTTGTTTAACAGGAAAGTAGATTCTTTGATTTGATTGTGAGGCCTTTCTCAGATTGGCTGAGAACTATTTCTTTTGAATTAGATTCCAAGTGATTCCTATTGGCCACACACATCTATCTGCACACATTAAAGGAATCAGAAATGGGCAACAAAACACTGGGCACGCTTTACTTAGAAGAACACGAATATCTCTTTTTAGGTTATTTACAGTAAATATAAAAAAACCTCTTTGATCAGACATTAAAAGAGGACCGCAGAGTCTGCTTGACCATGAGACAACTAGACATCAACTATCTCCTGCAACTAGGTCACTGCAATTAGGTGGATATTTCTCCTCAAAGTGACCCCGCCCATGATAATGCAGCAACAGCACCATGAATCAATTTGCAGCAGGACACTGTACCACACCTCCCACTTCACCCAACACCACCACTACCTTTAGCTATTCACCATGTGTCATGCTTTATCCGTCGCCTCATCCTTCAATGGCAGCATATAATTGTTCCACCGGTGGCAGCCTTTAATTATTCACATGATGCCAAGGCTCAGGCGGTGGCAGCTATCACCTCATCCATCACCAAGAACTATTGCGCTGCCAATCTACAAATGCACTGTCTTTCTAGTTCTGTGCCTTGGCCCATGTGTGTGTGGCATACGTGATAAACATCTCAGCAAACTGCTGATGCGGGTCTTCATTATTCTCAGATGGGCCGGAGATTAACGGAGAGGAATGGAGAGCGATACCCTGCTTGGAGTTTAGGTGGTTTAGAGACTGCAGACCATTCTGTAGTTTAGAGAATGGGCAGAGCATTTGTCAGAATGTAACTCTGTGAGGCATTCTCTGTCAAGTTCAACTTTACTGGGGATTTGAGACGCTTTTTGTGGCAAATTTCCCATCAGTTTTTGTAAGAGCTTTTGTGGGACCTGTGGTTACTGGTTTCAGCTGATTCAGATTTCATTTACAGAACGATGTCATCGCCCTGTCATTTATTATTTATATCAGAAGCGGAGGTAAAATTACAGTGTGCCTACATGAGTAGTGGCTTCAAAACAGGGTTACTATAAATAAACCACAGAAAGAAAGTGATTATGTTTATGGTAATTATGCTTTAAAGCATTTATACTACTACTACAACTGTAAAATAATCAGAATAAAAAATAATAAAGAGATAGAGAATTAATAAAACCACTAATAATAACAATACGCCTGATTCCATTGGCAATACCTATAGAACAGCGGCGATTCCTCACTGACTACTACAGAGGCTAAACTTCTCCTGTAAATTTCATAGAATTATTGGTAAAATATTAAATTTGTGAAACTTCACAAATGTAGTCTTTAAACTGCATTAAATATACACTAAAATTCACCCAACTTCATTAGTGTGTTGCTTATTAATCAGCTGTTTATTCAGCTCTTGGACACAATCTCCCCTACGCTCATGAGCAGCAGGATGTATCAGAAACCTCTATTGATGTGTGAACCTCTATCTATTGAGGTAAGCAGTGAGAAAGTAAACCCCTGATTGGATAACACGCCCATATACGTCAATTCCAGTGAAGCTAAAGCTCTTAGGGGGGTCTATGGAGCAGGGGCGGGTTGTAAAGTTGGCAATTCGATCATACTTAAGAAATTTTGACTGACATTTTATGGCAGATAAGAGTTAAAGAGATAAATTTAGTCAGTATCACAACTGCATAGGCTGATGCATGATTTTTTTCTCTCCATAAAACAGATAAAGACAACCTTCAAAGTTCTATGCATCAAGTTTTAAAAAGATATTTTAGACTTGGAAGTATAGTCTCCTCCTAGTTAGATTAAATCATATATGAAAGAACACAATCCTTTACATGGTTCATCTACAGTGTCCCCAATGGTTCAGATGTCAGCTGTGCTGCCTTGCAACAATTTTTTAATTGAAATAAAGCTCTAGGAGGTATATATTTTCAATAAGAGTTTACTCTAAACAGTTGCACTGTTTTGGTAATAAAATTAATAAAACAATAAGCTGAATTTGTACTCACACTGTATCTGTTCCATAGCTGCGGTAGTCCACCGCAGCAGAGACAGCTACAATCAGAGCTGGCACACCGTAACCCACCAGGTAGAAGTATCGTCGGCGTGAGTGCTCGCTTTCAAACACCTCCACCAGCATTATGTAGAGCTGCACCCCCTCAAGGAACATCCATGTGAAGGCAGCCAGGAAGAAGAAATGGAGCAGGGCGGCAAAAACAGCGCATGCGATCTGAAAGGTTTAAAAGGTAATAGAGATGATTTGACACATGAGGGGGGGTAAAAACAGATTTAATCACAATGATAATAAGTCTCAAAATTTGTAATTTTCCTTATTCCCCCGACACACACACAAAAAAAAATTACTGGCAAAATGAGTCTTGGAAGTGACTCCAATCTGCAGCCTTCTTTGACCTCCCACAGTCAGCTTTTCTTACAATTAGAATGGCAAAGCTTTGTTTGGCTGAAGCCATTGGATGTATGCCTGTGGCGACTGGCAAAAGAACACTGCAGCACATGCATTGTTGTTTGCTTTAGCTGGCATGGAAGTAAGAGTAATATGAAGAAGTGAAGTCTGCTGTCCAAAAGCCATTTAGGACAGCAACATAAACCAGGTGCAGGCCCATAATATGGTTACATACTTTCTATGCTCAAAGTCAATACAAGAGATACCCCCCCTTCATGTATGCTCCTGCACTTACATTGATTGATCCAATTATTGGCACAGTTTGACATAACTAGGGTATTTTGTTACTGGGATGGATTCAGTTTTATAACTAAGAGGTTGAGTGGACATTAATTGCAGTCCAGGAAAACGATTCCACTGCTGGGCTGTGAGTCATACCCATAAAATGTTATGGGAGGAAAAGGTGCAGGCCCCGAAGCATTGTCTTTAACTTCACAGGAAGTTAGCTTTGTGGTCTGTAGTTTTTAACTTCTGACAGTTATTACACTCTGACGGGAAAATAAAGATGTGTTTAGATTGCTTAAGGCCTGGGAAATTAGAGATGTATAATTTCCTTTCTCTGGCATTTACATTTACAATCATTAAACTGTTGTAAAATGATTTATGAAGGATATTATGCAATAAACTTTACCCTTGGAAATCATAACAAAGATTGTTACCTATATGCATGGCAAGAATGCAAAGCGAAATGTATTGCTTGCCTGACTAAAAAACGAAAAAAGACAGTTTGTTAAAGGGGCTATTGAGACATATATGGTTCTCTTAAATGCATTAATTATCTCCCTGCAGTAGATAATTCTGTTGTTTTTTGCATTTAAAAAAAAACACATTAGAGACTCCTGACCAGTTAATTTGGAACAACCAAAACTGATTGGTATTTGTATGAAACTTCATTTACTTCATTGGAGTAAAAGTGAATATAAGGGACACAAACTGATAATCTAAGGCAAATATGTCAAATTCAAGGCTCACGGCCAAATCCAGCCTCTCTGCAATCCATCTAGCCCCGAAGAGCCTAGAAGACATATAATGCCATTAAGTAGAATTATAAGTTCTCTTAAAGTGTACAGAGTGGCTAAAACTGCAAGATAAAATCTGAGTAAATTTGTAATACCAGAGACGTGCTTTTTGTAAGTAAAAAAGATGAAATCAAAGGTTTCATATACAGAGCTGGATGTGGCCCTTTTAAAGACTTAATAACACTAAAGTGGCTGATTTGAAAATCAGTTTTAATGATTGATGATGTTTTGATGATGCTGCTAGAAGCATAACATAGTATGATGCATTAAGAAGTAATTACCTTAATTGTCTCCTAAAAAACATCTGACTGTACTGCAATTTCATTTGCTATAGAACTGAATGAATTGACGATTATATTGGCTGTCTGCCTTGAACTAGGTTTGACATACTGTAACAACTGTGGATCTTTGATAACGCTACCCAGCTGTTGCATTCTAACCTGTGTCTCTTTTTGCAATTGTATTTGCCATTCTGGTAACCCTTTTCAGTGTTTCTTATATTATCTCAAAAATAGGTAAACAGCTCTGAGAGGAAGAATTTATTTTAATGTAAAACAGGAAAAAATATGAATGGACCTATAAAATACTCTCTGATTTGTTCCCTTTTAGAAGTGTAGGAGCATTAGATGTATGTCATGATTAAAAACCAATTACAATAAAATAGAGAATGAAAATGGAAAAATATATTACACTAAAAATGCTATTTTACAGATGAAAAACATATGCTTATTATAGACAAAAAAGACTATAACTTTATGTCTATATTTTGTCTATGGATAATATGCAAGGTAACAAAAGATTATAGTAAAATTTCTAAAGGTGATCTTCAAGAACAAGGAACATCAATGACAGATCGCACCATCCTGACCTAATGAGAGTTGACAAAGGAGGAAAGCATTGCTGAAAATTATTTATAAAAAAAACTGACTGTAAATTGCAAAACTACAATTTGATATGCTGCAAAGCTTCTGGGTGAATGTCCTATGGACAGATGATATCGGTACATCAGCTCTATGTTCACAGATGGAAGCATGAAGCATATCAGGAAAAGAACACTGTCCCTACTGTAAAACACAGAGGAGGCTCTGTCATGTTTTGGGACTACCTTGCTTTATCTGGCACAGGGTGTCGGGAAAATAAACGTTCAATGAAACCTTAAGACTATCAAGGCTTTCCAGAGAGAAATGTGCTGCTCATTACTCAACGTAAAGTAAAGTAAAGCGTTGGATGTAGGAGTTTGCCCTGAAATCGAAGGGTTGGCGGTTCAAGCCCCGACTCTGACTTTCAGTGTCGTTGTGTCCTTGGGCAAGACACTTCACCTGCATTGTCTACTGATGGTGGTCAGAGGGCCCGGTGGCGCCAGTGTACGGCAGCCCTGCTTCTGTCAGTGAGCCCCAGGGCAGCTGTGGCTACAATGTAGCTTGCCACTATCAGTGTGTGAGTGTGTGTGTGAATGAATGTAGTGTAAAGCGCTTTGGTCAAGTCTCCTAACTTGAATAAAGGCGCTATATAAGTACATGCCATTTACCATTATTGAAAGTTTAGTCTCAGTTGCAGGTCGCGGGTCCTGAAACAGGATAGTGTCATAAAACGCGCCTCAAAGAGCGCTGACCTAAATCCTATTGAGCATCTTTGGAACAAACTGAAACATGTCGTCTGCAAAAGACAACCTTCAAACCTAACAATGAGGAGTAGGACAAAATACCTGCTGAGAGGAGCAGAAGTCTGATTGACGGTTACATGAATCGCTTCAATCCTCAAATGGTTGTGTAATGAAATATTGAGTTAAGGGTGTCATCATTTTTGCCCATGCCTGTTTCATGAGTTTAATTTTGATCATTTTATTAAAGCATGGTTGAAACATTAATTTCATTGAATTTTTATTGATTATCCTTTAATTGACAGACAGCATAGGGCCAGCACAGTTGAACAAGTTGAGCAAAAATACTTTATTTTTTGGCATGTACTCTGAGTGACACATTTGTGTATTTTTTGTTTTACAGTTATTTTCCAGAAGAGTGTAGTCCCAATTCAATCGGCGTCAACCATGTGTGTCTCTGACACGTAATGACGTCTGTAAGGCTGACGGCTGTCTGGATTCAGCACAGCTGTCCTTTGAATAGTGTTCTGGCTGTTAACCTACAAAAGGTGAAGGGAAAGGACTTCTGTTGGAACAGGAGGTAGGAGCTACAGTTCGAGGTATCTGGATTGAGCCCTTGAGTGCATGTCAGTACAATTTAAAAAAAAAAGGGCACAAATCTTGGTCTCTTTATAGAGAACCTAATTTGGATCTGCACTAAATGAAAATTCAAAGACCTGCTGTAGATAATATATCACTGTATATGCATTTGAGAGAACATCATATAAAAATTCAAGTCTCTCTTCAGAATCCTTTGTTGACCTTTAAGCATGAAATCACTCTCCCGTTTGCTGCTCTAGGAGTGCACTCTAGAAAATGACTCTGCAGCGACAGCATGTTTCCACCTGTTACCACAGTTCAGTTTTACCAAAAAATAAAATTTCATCCAAACCGTAGCAATTAAAAAAGGAGGTTTAAGACTTTATGCTTCTGATCCAAGATTAGCCTTAAGGAGCAGAAAAATAAATTTCAGCTGATTGTTGCTGGCTAGGTTGAAAATGATCCAGATAACAATGATCTATCGGTGAGCTGAGTTGGAAGTTGTGAGAGTTTTTGAGTGAACTTTGAACCAGGCGCCTATTTCAGCACATCTAGGGGAGGCAGATCCTGTTCAATAAATGGCTCTCAGTTCTTTTCTCTCAGTATTTCTTTCCAGTGAGCCAAACAGAAGCAAAATAGTCCAGGGCCACTGACACTCAGCAGGAAGCCCCAATCTCAGCGCAGCACGACATCAAAGGTTATAGCTTTTCTGAAAACATTTCAGGTTGGGGGATTCAAGATGGTTGCTACACTTTAAGAGGGGAGTTCGTTTTGACAGACATACACCTCCTGACTGAAACAGTAAAAAAAAAAAAAAAAAAAAAAAAGAAAATGTTTCAGCAGCAGGTAAGGGCATTTTGAATTTATATCTTGCTTATGCTTCTTATTTTAATTTTCACGGAAATTAGCCAGGGGACTGAATGGTTTTGGAATTGGCTGTGTCTTTGAATATCTACCATAAGAGTTGCAATTTGGCTGCAAAAACATACACCAAGGAAGCATTGTCATGTTAACATACAACCCATTGTCTACATGTTTACTGATTAGAGTTGACAATAAAGATAACATTTTGTTATCAAAATCTATAAAAGGTGTGGACATTAATGGTGATAAAACTCCATACATCGGACATGGTTATTGTAATAGGGCAAATATTTCCTCAAAGCAGTCCTATACAGTACGATTTGGCACCCACTGATATTTTGCTAAAGTCATTGCTGTTCAATATATGCTAAGGATCTTTTGTTATATTTTTTTAATGTATCTAAGAGTAAGTAGTCTATTTAGTATTATATAAACGTACAATATTTTGGTTCAAACTAGCGGTGTCCGAAGGAACATTTAAGAACACTTTATTGATATAAATTTGGCCAGCCAAAACAACACCCATGCCTTTTTTTTTTTTTATAAAGTTGTCATTCATAAAAAAAAAAGTAGATAACTTCTTAGAAAAAAAGTAGATAACTTCTTAGAAAAAAAGTAGATAAAATTATATATAAAACACAAGTTATCAGTCCTTTACTTGTTATTTTTACAATAGTTGATCTTATAATCAATTGGATTACATATATTCCATATTTTTCTCTGCAAAAAATGTTGTTAAATGCAATGTGAATTTCAGACAAAAGTGACTAATGTCCTACTTATTCTACTGAGCAGTGAATAAAAATATTTTTTAGACCAAGAAGAAAGCAACTGACCCGTAAAAAAAAGAAATTTTTTATATTTCCATTTAATTAAAAAATTAAAAACTAGTCTTATCTTTTTGCTTCTACTAATTTAACTACTTTATTATTTATCAATACTTATATCCAATCAGTCTTAGTTCCAAACAAGCATAGTTATAGAGACTTCTTAAAAACAAGGGTACTTCTCGTTTGAATATCTACATACTGTACTGTCTGTCTAAACAGAAAAAGTGAGACTTTGAGTTGGTCCTGATTCTTGTTCAAGTGTACAGTATTGGTATACTATTTATTATTGAAAGCATAAAAATAAACTGAAAAGAAATGCAGTAGACCAAAATGTTAAGAGTCTGGTAAAATCTTTAAAAACACTTAAGAAATATCTTCTTTGCAACATTTGATGTACAACAGTTCCCCAGTTTTTTCTTACCGGCTGGTCAACACGGTTGATCCCCACTAGGAACAGGGACTCTGCTATAAACAGGCTGATACACAGGTTCTTATGGATGGTGTTGCGGTCACTCTGTAGGCCGCGGAAGAAGCAGAAGGTGAAGAGGCTAATTAGCAGGCACACCAGAGAAAGCAGGATGCCCACCCAGGTGATGACGTCCAGGAGCATGTCGTGAATAGGGTCTGTGTTCTGCAAAAGAAATGAGAACAGAAGGTGCTCAGAAGCATAAACAAAAAGAAAAGCTCTTCTTCTACAGGTACTTCAAATAGGATTTCTGGGAATTCGGCCAAAAAATAAACTGCATTTTCAGGATATGTTTAATATTTATGGTACAGACAAAAACAAACAAATGTTGAGGTAAAGATATAACCCTGAAATAGAAGCAATGCTCAAGCTTTTATTTTCACAATTGCTTTCTAGCTGTAAAGTGGAGCCACTCAACCCTCCAATAAAACAGTATACCGAGCCACAGGTGGCAGATATGAATCATGAATTAGTCAGTGTGAATCAATTTCAAATGGCCCCCTGTTGTTTCATTTTGGTCAGGTAACAAAGTGAGCAGCCCAATGGGCCACAGGTGTCTCAGACCAGCACAACACGAATCCAATCAAACCGTTACATGGGCAATATCGTTCACTGTTTGCTTTTGGGTAATTTTCTATTTTTCACATAGTCATTTGGAACCACAGATAGCTTTGGCCACTCAAACAACGTTCTGTTCACAACAAATGAGTAGCATTCTTGGAAAGATAAAAATCCATTCTTGCTTGAGACTTGACAGAACAAACTGTTTATATCTCTTAATTGAACTCAGGTAGACCTTTAATGCAAGAAAGAAAGATATAAACCTAAACACTATATTTCAGGTGTAACCAAAGCAATATTTTAAAACTTTTATGTGTCAGGGTACTGCGGTCGTGTCTGAGGTGCGCAGCCTTTTTTCTCCCTCTTCTGCAGGTGGCTGCTGATAAGCGGGGAGGTGCTGAGCGCAGGTGTTCTTTGTTTTCGTGGTGGCTGGGAAGGCTTTAAAGGAAACGGCTGTCAGCAAATCGGCACCAGAATGTTAGCCATACATGGTAGAAACTCAACCAGCCAATTGTCTCACGTCGTTTACTTCCCACACTAATTTTGTCCTGTGCAGTAGTTTGGTCGGCTTTGACTCCCTCTTCCTTTGGTGGGTGGCAGCCTACTGGTTAGGGCATCGCTCATGGAATTCAGTGGTTCTAAGTTCAAGCCCCACTCCCACAGATTTCCCCCCTCGGTCCCTGAGCAAAGACCCTCACACTGCTCACCGGGCGCTGCACAGTGGCAGCCCACTGCTCTCCAAGGGGATAGGTTAAATGCACAGACAAATTTCTCCAATGTGAGATTAATAAAATTCAATTATCATTGTTATTGCACGACTCACAAGCCTCTGCCGAGACAGTCAGCCTCTGGTCCACTCTGCAGCCTCTAAGACAGTGGTCTCCAACCCTGGTCCTCAAGATCTACTGTCCTACAGATTTTAGATGCATCCCTGCTTCAACAGAGCTTAATTAAATGAATGGCTTGAAAAGGTAATAAATCATTTGATTCAGCTGTGTTGAAGCAGGGATGCATCTAAAATCTGTAGGACAGTAGATCTTGAGGACCAGGGTTGGAGACCACTGCTCTAAGAGATTCCAAGCCGTCCCGTCAAGCCTCTGCATGCCCCAGCTCTCAACCAGCGTAAAACACAGCACACAGCCTAACCCTCCAACGATCAGCCTCATCCCGCTTGGAAGCAACCTTCCCTGCAAGCACCAGCATCTCCCGCCTACGGACCATGGCAGCTCCACGGACTCTCCCCAGTTTTCACGTCTCTCATGGTAAGCCTTCTAGTGCTGTGTTCTCATCGTACACAGTGACTTTCGTTAACTCTCGCTCTCCTTTTCAGTTTGCCCCATCCCCCCTTCGCTCTCAGACATCCTGAAAAAAATCTGCTTGTCTTCACCTTTTTTTTTTTTTTATTATCTTAAATCTGCCTTATTTGTGTCCTCAGCGTGTTCTGCATGTGCCTCAGAAAACTAGGAACAATGACCCTAAGGATTGTCAGATGGTTTTGGTAATATAGGAAGCCAGTACAAAAGTTTAGGATACATTATCATGTCTCATCTCGAAACCTTGGTCAAAACAAAAAAATCCCCCCCCCCAAAAAAAAACCTCAGTGCAGAATACTAAATAACCTCTTACTTACTAGAAACATTGCATAATGTTAGTGTGATAGAACGTGATCGATGAGAATTTAAAAGCATCATTATCTAAAGTTTTGATCAGGAGATAACATGTGCCATATATGGGTTTTAGACTCTTGTTAAATTAATATCGATTTATAGTATTAGCACCAAGGATTGTTAATCAGTTCAAATCAAGATATTATATATATATATATATATATATATATATATTCATGGACATTAATTAAAGTCTGCATATATCCTGTTTGGAACAAGCAATACATACATATTTATTTCTGAGATGGAGGCCTATATATGTTTATAGCCATTAGTCTTTGAAATTAAAGTCTGGAAAGTTTGGAACATCTAAATAACACGAGTCAGAGCTGTAGCCCAGCAGCATATTTGCATACATTGAAGAATTGGCCTCCAAGAAATGCTAATATATCTACACAAACAAGTATCTCTTTAAATCACATTTCAACCACACTCAGCATTATTTCTACGAGGACATGAAAAAAAGAAGTTTGCCTGAGTTTTATACAAAGGCCTTGTTTATAGGGAGCTGAGCTAACACTTGCAGAGAGAGAAACAGATGCTGATCATTAACAGGCTCTGGTATAATAACAACCGTAGCGCTCCTTAAGTCTGGGGAGAGTGGTCTTTTGATTTTCCTGCTTGATGAACCATCTTGTATACATCGGAGGGGTGGCAATATGTTGTGCAGATCAGACATCTGGGAGTGAATGTGCATTGCTGTCTCTATGCCATACTTTAGATGAGAGACCATACAGGAGGAGGCAACACATGTCAGTGTTTGGGCTAAGATTCTTTGTGACGTGTCATGCATGTGACACATTGGTCCGCTCTCAGTCCGCTGCTTGATAGCGACATTAATGCAGTAGGTGGTATAAGCTGTGGCACATTGCGAGGAGGACTCTGAGTCCTTCTGGGCTATTCTGTGGCTGCAGGCTCTATCCATCTTAATCTCACCTCTGACTGGAGAGAGGTCAGCTAAAAAGACGTCAAAGGGGAAGGGGAGAAAAAAGAAACAGGAGGAGTATGACAGGCAGTGTATCTACACCTGGGTGATGGATTTACCGTGGAATGATTTCTTTGTTCTAAGAGTTGGATAATGCCTTTGCAACACCAGACAATGTCTCAACCGAAAAGGTTCCTTTAATGCGAGTGCCCATTCAGGATGGCAAATGATGGGATCTGTAGAGCTTCTAAACTTATAAACAGCAATGGGAATATCTGTAAGGGTCTCTAAAGTGGACAGAAGTAGTTCACTCAACTGATTTGCTCACTTTGATGTAAGGGCTGTCCAAACATACAGCAACAATGCTGTTTGCAGAGCCTTGCAAAAGTATTTGTCACTTTTAATTATGTTATAATCACAGCATTTTATAGAGTTTATTGGGATATAATGTGACAGGCACAAATGACTAAATTAAACCACATTCTAAAAAATTGCCTTTGGAGGTAATCTATGTATTTGAACTTTCTATACAAAGTCTTAGGCCCAGTCCCATTCCTCCCCATTGCACTCGGTTTTGTCCCTAACTATTTGAACACACTAACCTTTCACATGAATGTAAAAGGTTAGTGTGTCCCAATAGTTATAAGAGGTAGGAGGAAGTGCCCTCCAACCCCTAAAATTAACCCCTTAGACCGTGTGAGGTTGGGAGCTGACTTTGGAACTGAGTGGCTTTCCAGAACGCATTCAGTGAAAGGAAAAATGCTGATTGACTGTTGAAAAGAACTGCACAAATGTAAGTATAGTTTTGCAATTAACCCCGCATTTGAAAAAAAAAAAAAATATGTTGGGATATCTTAGTTAGACATAAATACAACTCAATTCCTTACTGTTGTGTTAAAACATGAATGCCTAATTGCTATTTCTCATAATACAAAAATCTACCAGGAGTTTTTCTTTAATATGCAAAGTAGGATGATTATGACCGAAGTGGGTTTTGTTCGAGGTTGGATGTTCGGGCTCAGCGGGGTCAGCAGGAACTAGCTCACGTTTGATCTGATTGAGGGACTCTTTCGGCCAGCATCTCTCTGCTGCTCCAGAAGCCACTGGGTCCCTCGGTTGGATCAGTACTGGGCTGGATCCCAGTGGCTGCGCATGGCTTGGGTGTCCGGTGTCGGTCTTCTAACAAACTTCACCCTAGTATGATTATGAATGACAGCTTTTAACAAAATCATGTTATCACCATTTCTATCTTGACGCGTGGGATTGCAACGGCCACTATATCAGCATAGAAGGTATAATGTTATGCATAATTGTCATAGCGCTTGTTTATTGCGCAGCACGCACACACGGTAACTATTATAAGGCATGAGTGTTTAGATTTATGAGTAATATCTCCATAGTTCCTGGGCTGATCCATATGAAAAAAAAAATGAAAAAAAAAATTCTAGAATGTGAATGCAACCTATTGTCTTAATAAATGATTCAACATACGGTAAACAGATTAATAAGGCCAAAATAGCGTCAATCTGCAAAACCCCATCTTGGGTTTTGCAGATTTCTTCTCTGAAAACATACCAAAGCATTTTAAATTTTCTTATAGATACATAATATGCAGGAAAATATACAGGAAAAGATCTATACAATATCTATAGAAGAAGAGACTATCATATTACCGTAATTGCACGTACATAATAACAAAGGCAGTTTATTTGCAAAAACAATAATGATAAGTACATTTGAAGGGGAATAAAGTTGTGAAGGATTTAAGATTTGAGATTCATTTGGTATTTGGGGTAAATGAAGGATCAGTTTCCAGTATATGTTAACTATGGAGTTAGTCTGTTTATTGTTGACATGATTTGCAGATTGTTTGTATTTCTTTATTTCAGTATCTAACACAAATAAAGAGGATTTAATCTCATTGAATGTACTATATTCTATGAATGTGGAATTTTCCAAAAATATAAATAAATTAATTAGTTTTGCCAGTTCCTTGTTTGGGTGTGGAAAAA